TTTCCAGTTATCCCACTGTGCTACGTGGAGTTTGGCTGTCACAGTCTTAAATTACCAGTTTTATGGTCCCAATATTTACTCTTTCCTCATAATCACTATGGAACCCTCTCTAAAGACACAAAATTAATTTTAATTCCCCTGGGGGTTATTCTATTTCTATCATGTTTTCTGCTACCTAATGAAAGCCTCAGTGACCACCTTAATGGGATGGAGAAAAGTCATTCAAAAGAAATAAACTCACTTTAGCCAACCAGATAACTCCTTGAGCACTGAGCCCAGAGTCTATGCCTGTTGGCCGTGGTCAGTTAAATCCTTTCCCAGAAACTGCCATCTGATAAACAGAACCATCTTGTCCACACTCAAGTCTCTTCCCAAGGAGCAGCCTAAGATCCAATGCATGTGGGTGAATATAGACAGCGACACAGGGAATGTTTTAAATGCCTGGCTCCAAGGAACAACTCTGAAGGGCCACTCCAGGCTTGACTAAAGCCTGGGTGCAACCACAACACCATTCAACTTCGTCTGGCCAGACCTGCTTCCCCAACTCCTCTTTAGTGCTGTTCCCAGAACCTGCTGCCAAAAACAATAAAAAGACTCCTGCATGTAAAGGTCACAGTCTGTTTCCCGAGGAACCCCACTCGCAACACTCACCAGGGTGAATTTTGTTTCCAAATGCCAAGCAGTTTATATATGTCTTACAACGGTATAACACAACATGATGACTATAAACCAGTGTTCCCTGACATCATTTTATGGATTAAAAAACAGTTACATTTAATGAAGGCTGCAACTATCCTATAAACCACCTTTTTAGTGAAGCAGCAACCCCATTGAAGCTCAGAGTCTAATGAGGAGAGGAGCAAGGGCCAGGTATGTCCGCCTACTCACTCCTCTGGTTAGACTTCCTTGTGTACCACGTTACACAATGGCCCATCTTTGGAATAAAAGTTCAGTGGGCACCAAAGCAACAACTGCCCACCAGTCAGGAAAATTGCAGTCTCTAGAGGAGAGTGCAAATGATAATTCAACAAACGTTCATAGGTACTTGAAATAGTATGAAGAGATGGATTCCTACAGAAATGAGTAATATTGTCAAAGTATCTAAGAGTATGAGACGTATGAACCAAGAGAGTCATAATACGCAGGAAAAAAACCTCATGCATCAAATATAAGGATGGGATAAAATGGGAAGATACTACGAAACAGCAAAGTCAGTGGTCAAGCAGTAAGAGCAGCTGGTGTAACAGGAAGAGCTGAAGCAGACGCTGTGTACTGAGCCTTTGAGTAAACAACACATTCTTAGCACTAGCTCTTCCAGTGAAGTTTTGCTTTTACACATTTGTATGTGGGACACAGTGGATTTACTGTTTTTAAGGAACTATCTGATAATGTTCAGTTCATAAGCATAAGGTCTCTTAAAAAGCAATTGCAATCATGTATATAATTATTCAAGTCATGTGCCTGTAAACAAATAAAGAATAGTAATGTTGCAGGAGATGAAATCAACATGCAAAAGTCAATAGTATTTATATATACCAGTAACTTATCTTTTAAAAATTAAAAAGACAATCACATTTCTAACAGCAGAAACGTATTTAGAAGCAAATTTAGCCAAAGAATATATTATAAATTGAAATCTATAAAATAATAATGAAATAAATTGAAGATGACATAAAAGGTAAAGGTCATCTTTTGTGGCATGGACTCAGTGGCTGACTCTTTGGTCAACTCCCCCCCTGAGCAGGGAGCAGCCTTACCTAGCCACAGAGGAAGACAATGCAGCCAGCCCTGCAGCAACCTGATAGGCTAGGGTCAGGGGACCTCCCCTATCAGAGGACTTGGGGAGGGGCATGGGAGGAGATGAGGGAGTGAGAGTGGGATTGGGAGGGAATGAGAGAGGGAGCTACAGCTGGGATACAAAGTGAATAAGCTGTAATTAATATAAAAAAATAAAAAAATTTTAAAAAATTAAAAATTTTTAAAAATTAATATAGTTAATCTATTCCTACTGCCCAAAACAATATTCAGATTCAAACTGTTATCAAAATAACATTAAATTTTTCATAAAAATAAAAAATCCTAAAATTCATATGGATCACATATATAAAGGAAAAAAATAACAAATAGCTAAATTTATCTTTAGTGATGCACACATATTGAGAACGGGAGGAGAGAAAGAGAGACAGAGAATGCCCTGTCAGCATTACTCTCTGGTTTCAAACTATATTACAAGGTTGTGTAATCAAAATATCATGGTACTAACATAAAGACAGACAAAGACCAATGAAATACGATTTTAAAAAAGACCATAAACCAACTTGCATGTTTTATAATCATTTGACTTTCAACAAGGAAATCAAGAACACACAACATTGCAAACACAGTCTCTTCAATAAACGGTGTTAGGAAAACTGAAGGATGAAATTGATCTCATATACCATATATAAAAATCAACTAAAATGTACTAAAGACTTAAACATGAGACCTGATATACTAAAAGTACTAGAAGAAAACAAAGGAAAACCCCCATGCCATTGATCTGTTCAATAATTTATTGGTAATAATGCCAAAACTACAAGTTAGAAAAGTAAAAGTTAACAAATGGGTTTGCATCAAACTCAAAGCTTCTGAATCACAAAGGAAACAAAGAGACAATTTATAACCTGAAAGTACTTATTTAATACCCATACACCTAATAAGCTAATATCAAAAATACATACGGAATTTAAGCAACTCATGATTAAAGATAACCCAATTTTAAAATGCCAAAAGGACTTGAACAGACATTCCTCCAGAAGAGACACAGGAATAGCAAACAGATAAATGCAAAGTGGTCTACATGCCAAATCACCCAGCAAATGTAAATTAAAATCATAAGATAACACAACTCCTAGAATAACGAACATCAAAAAAATCTGTGGTGCTGAGGCTCACACCGAAGTTTCCAGGAGACTAAAGCAGAAGGGTTGCTTGGACCTAGGAGGTTGAGAGGAGTCTCTGTGAAATAGTGTCTCACAAAGGAGAGAATAAGGAATGGGAGGAGTAAAAAGAGGAGGCAGAGGAAAGAGGTAGGAGGATCTACTTTTGAACTGGGGTACAGCTCAATAGCGGAGAGTTTCAGTACCAAGGAAGTAGCTGGGAGGCTGGGGAATGTGACACTACTGAAGAGCACGTAAATTAGTACAGACACCTTGGATAGTAGTATAAATGTGCTTTAAAAACTTCTATCTACTCAAAGAAATTGAAATCTTTATCTCTGCAGCAGAGTTGAAAGCGACCTAAGCGTAAGTCTGTGAATAAACAGAATGTGGCATATATATATATATATATATATATATACACATACACATATACACGATATTACATTATTCGGCCTTTTAAAGGTAAGAAAATTCCACTATTTGCAACAAAGTAAATGAACCTCTGAGAGATTAAACTAGAGTATAGTAATACTTCTGTGTGAGAGCTAAAAGGGAAGGAATTTGAGAAACATATAGTCACCAGAGGTCAGAGGGAAAAAAAGTGGGAAAGAACTCTATGTGTGTCGACTAAATTGCATCATATAATTGTGTGGTTCAGCCAAGTACTTTTTAAGTTCCTTTCGGATAGAGTGAAAGAAGCTGAACAGAGACGTGCGGCGTAGCCCTAACACTGATACGAGCCTTGGGACACAATTACTGATCCCTCAGTTTTGTTCATTACATCAGACCAAATACCTCCTCTGACAAGTACCTATTTTAGAAGATGCACCCTTCAAAAGTAACTATTTTTAGGAGGAAAAAAAAAAGTAGGCAGAAAGAGGTTAGTATTATCTACTCAAATTCTTCATAACTACTGAGGAGAAGGGATACCCAAAGATCAATTCTAGAATTTGCACTTAAATCTGAATATCTATTTTCTTTTTCCACAGAAACTGAAACATGAAAAGTGAGTTTAAATTGTCTACAGAAATGTATGACAACTTTTAGGATGCTTCATCTAGAGTGAACAAAAATTGTTTCCCTCTTATTTTTAGTAAATAATTAAGCTTTTAGCTTTTTTTTTATATAACTAATCTTTGGACACATTAACATTAATATTGCTTAAAAACATACCCACCCCTTAAGATGAAGAACTGGGGTTGCAGAGTGCTAGGGTTAAAGCCATATATAGCCTTAGACCTTGACCAAAATACTTACAAACTGTTTATTCACCTGATAGAACAGGTGAATCTATCGGGAGGATGAGTGCTCGAAATGATCATAAAGCATTGTGCCTGAAACAAAATGAGTCCGTGATGGGCAGTCGCTTATAATAATGACAGCTGTTATTCCTATGTATCTAACAGGAACAACATGCCACTAAGGGGCTGGGGTGGGCCCTCAACCACCTTTTCAGAAACAAGCCCTTTCAAAGCAGCCTTTCAGAAAGAGCTCCCGGAGCTCCGGGGCCAAGTCTAAAGCAGCCGGTTCATTTCCTTCCGGCTCTCTCCTTTTTAGTCTTTATGGGGGGGGGGGGGGGGGGGGGGCGGGGAGGAGAGTTTGGCTGGTGGCCAGACAGGGTCTCTCTGTGTGACCCCTCAGCGTCCTGGAACTCCGCCCTCCTGCCTCTGCCTCCCAAGCGCTGGGATTTAAAAAGCCTCAGCCTGGCCCCCGGCCCCTCCCGGGGAGGACCGCCACCCTTCCAGCCTGTGTCCCGCCCGCCCGCCCGCGGGGGTGGGGATGGGCGAGGCAGCAGGTGCGGCGGCGGCTGCGTGCGGCCCCGAGCGGGGGCGGGGAGGGCTGGGGGGG